AGGGAAAGTATCATTGTGACCTGCCTCTACCGTTTACAGGTGGTAATAAAGGAATCGGTTTGCCCAGTGAGAGCAAATATTGAAGTAGATCAAGTACAGTGCCCTCGAAAAATAATAAATTTTAAATTAGGGACAGGGTAACCTGCAAAAAACAAAACAAAACTGAGAAGGAGCAGGAGAGAGTGGTGTTCTAGAAGTCAGAGGAGAGGTTTATGAGACTGGAGTTGGTTGATGGTGTTAAATGTCTCAGAAAGTTCAGATGAGAGTTGGTTGTGAAAAGAAATGTTTCAGTTACAAAGTTGTGTACATATGTGTGTTGTCAGGAGGTGTTTGGACCTTTATTCAGTGTGTGTTAAGAGACAGATAAGATAGGTCAGTGCTGATTCCAGTTGGCTTTGTTAGTTCTTATTTCTGAAATCGCTCTTAAATGGTGATCTGTGAAGAAACTAAATCTATCATGAGTTAACTAAAACTTTTGCGACTCAACCTCATTTCTTTGATAGAATTTCTATACTTGAGAGCCCAAATCTGTGTGGATTTGTAAAGAAGACAGAAAAATAATGGAGCAAAGTGAATAATCAGCTGTAGGTTGGTGACTGTTGAACAGTCATTCCCAAAGTATTCAAACGAATGGTGACTTTTAGCCTAGGTGGAGGTTTCTAGTAATTTGCTTAGGATTGTACCCCTCACTGCTTCCTATACTTTATTTTTACTTCAGTGAATTAAAAGAAATAATCTTAACATAATTTAAAATTAAATACCTAAGCCAAATAAAAATTTGAAGCTGGTTTTTTTTAGAGTTCTTAACAGTTTTTTTTATTCAAGTACAGTCAGTTACAATGTGTCAGTTTTGAAAATGGATTGAAATTAAAAACTACATCCAGTGTTCTTTTAGGATCAAATCATTGTGATGTGACTATGTCAGGTTCTTTCTTCAGCTTCTCATTGATTTTTACCTCTTGACCTTTTAAAACCCTTGGGCTTGCTTGAGAATGGGCAAAAGTTTCTTTTAGGGTAATGGAAATATTCGAAATTAGATTGCAATGGTTACACAAGTAAATTTAGTAAAAATTACTGGATCTGATAGTGTGTAAATGATACATTAATAAAGCTGTTAAAAACCCGTGAGACACCTGTGTGACTAACTCTGCACATGTCACAGTATTAACTGTCAGGTGTAAAGGAAACGGTTTGAAGGTGGATATAAAAAATTTATCAAATGACTTAAAGTAGCCTTTATATTTTTAAACAGATGTGATCCTCAAGAAAATGAAATTGGACAGAATGTTCTAAAGAACAATAATCATAAAAAGGAATTTGCTTGTAGTCGTACACAACCATCACTAAAAAAGAAAAAGTTTGACATTTCTGTCCTAACTAATGAAGCCCCACCAACTACTTTGCGATGGGAAACCAATAATGTGCATTTAGAAGCAAAAAACTTCCAGCCACAGAAAGAGATTGTTGCAACAACATCCCCTAAAACCACTGCTGCTTTACCTCAGATGGGATCCAGCCCTGATGTGATCATTGAAGAAATTATTGAAGAAAACCTGGAAAGTGAGTAAAAATACAAAAGCAAAGAAATAATGTATCATGTCTGGAATTAGAGGCAAAATTAGTTCTTCTTTGTCCCTGTACTTAAACATGTTTTTGTTACTTACACCTCACTGTGAGTTAACACCTATTGATTCCATGCCTCTACTGTCACATTCCTAAAGTTCAGATTATTTTTATTTTTAATTCAAGAATATTAGCTAAGCTCTGAGATGTAATTTTAAGATTAGAGTATTTGACTTTTTAGTGTTCCACCCATATAAAAGATGAGAATAGTGGGAAGGCTATAGCTCAAGCGGTAGAGTGCATGCTTACCCTGCACAAGGTCCTGGGTTCAACCCCCAGTACCTCCTCCAAATATAAATAAATAAACCCAATTACCTCCCCCTCATAAAACAAAACAAAACAAAAAAGGCCAAAAAAAAGATGAAAATATTATAAATAAGTGAGAGATTGTGACTTTGTCCTTAAATTTAAGAAGACCATGTCTTAAATCTTTGTTCTGAGATACCTCCTGTTATAAAATGAACTATCATGAGTACAATAGCATCTGAGTGGTCACATTTTAAATGTATCACAGCTGTTTGATTGGGTTTCCAGTGGTGTCTCCCATCAGCACCAGAGTGAGATCACGCTGTGTGCAATTATCCCGTCAGTCTTCTTCA